ACTTGCGGGGTGGACCATACCATGTATAATGAGTCTGTGTTGACCAAGACATCCTCTTCCAACAGAAATTCTGAGGTAAGACTGCAACAGCTACAGTAAAATCGAAAAAATAAAAATGGTAGTTTAAGAGCTTTGTATTTATATTATCAAGTGAGTCAAGGGTCTGCAGTGTGTGTGTACACATTTACAGGCTCTTAACTCCTTTTCTACACAGAGCATGTACACTCAATGAGAGAGAGGACCATTTTGTGTTACTTTCATGCAATCTACTTCTTAGACTTCCATGCAATCTACTTCGCAATGACCAAACTACACCTTGGAGACCCTGCACAATTTAACATCTGAGACAGATTATTACATAGCTCCATACAAACCTGTATACCTCTAAGAAACATCTATATGTCTTTTACAATAGGAAAAAAATAGATTTTTTTGTGGTAACTGACACCTACCAAATGTCCTGGGTAAGATCACAAAATAATTTTACTGCACTATACTTTAATTAAAGAAGAACTATCACCACAACACTTGGTCCCGTTTCCTATTTTGATCTGTGGTCCCATTGTGCATTGAAAGTCAGTTTTGTTTTCTACTGTTTGTGCCTGCTGTAGTTCCAGCCCATGTTGAAGCCCAAATTGTGAGTGTTTCTATGAAAAAGATACAGCCCACACTATAGCCACTTCACCCTCCCTCTGCAAAAAACAGATTTTGTACATTGTGCTAACTTACTCTGCCAATGCTGATTGATCATTTCCCAACACAAGCCCTTGTAAAAAAAAGAATCATTTAGTGCTGTTGGTTCTGTGTGATTTATCTGCTGGTGCTATGTATGTTCACAAGCAGCTTCAGATAGATCACACAGCCTCGGCAGAATGATCTTTTACTTTTGCGACTGAACAGATGTTGATGGGGATATGTGACTGGTTTGTGACTGGCATTTCTCTTTGCATGGCTCTGATCAACAGCTCCTGTTCCACAAAGCTCCTTCTTTCCTAGTTGCCATAAAGTTCTTCAGCAGCTCCAGCACCCGCACCACTTGCGGGACCACTCTGGACAGGGCCTCTGGTCCTTACTGCTCTGTGAGACTTTGCACATAGGCCCTGTACTACACAAATTAGTAGCAATTAATTGGTGAGTGTATTGTTAACCAGTTCAGCTATGAAATGTCTACTTTTTTAAATAAATTACTTAAAAATGTTTACAATTATGTATATGCTTGTATCTAATTTTTATTGATTCTGGTAGGTACAAGAATTCATGAAAGCTAGAAAATACATTGAGCTGTATATTGTGGCAGATCATTCATTGGTAAGACCATAGAAGTAATGCTATTAATATGATGTATTTGCGGTATGCATGATATGTAAAAATAAGTAACAAGTCAGTTAAAGAAACACATTTTAATTATCTGCTTGCTTACCTCTGATAACCAAGGAGCACCCTTGGGGCTGTGTTTAAAAAGGCTGGTTATATGCTTTCTTAAATCTGAAATCTAGGAAGGTATCAAAGGACTGTTGGTTATGTGTTAGAGAAGACACTAGTAGCTTGTGATGAGGCAGAACTTGGTTTACTTGTGTGGCTTAAGTTGCAAACATACAAAAGATTTCAGCAGACTGTAATGCAGACATCTTGGTTATAAAAAGAGAGAGAGAAGAGAGAGAACCAACAAGTTTTCAGATATGCACAACTGGTAACCTTAGTGTACAGTGCCATCTACTGGTCAAGTGATATTAACACACAATATTGTATATAGTACGTGCTGTTGTATTCCCAACAAGGACAACAATGAATGCAGCTAATTAATTCATTAATTCATTAAATAAATAAACAAAATATAGTAAATGTATTTTAATTAAAAGTAGTATAAAAAAAAACTAATAAGGCTTGATTTTAGCCTCTTTTAGTCGAATGTACAACAGTGTTCAGACTAGAAGTAGCAGCAGTACTTTGGGCCAATCAGGGGTGTTGCACATACATTTGTTGACAAGGAACAAGCCCATAGGAGAAGGGAGCAGAGAGTAGACCTCATCTGTCTGTTACTGAACTCTCATTGTCCAGAGGGGGAACAGTGATGGTGCATTACTTAACTGCAACAGAGAAAATCAGGTCACCAGTCTGGCTGTACTGTGTGATGGGGCAGTGTTTTGCCTGTCTGACATTCAGTTTTTAGTGGTTGGGGTGCCTTCAGATTAAACAGATTCTGCATTCTAGCTTCAGTGCAGTTCCATATTTGTGGTGAAGCTGTGCCCTCCCCTAAACACTTATGGTGCTGGTATTATGAACCTGAGCTATCTGTGTATTTTGCACTCACCTACTATGGCCTCTTGTCAAAAAGTTATCTTTTGTCCTTTATCCAGGTTCCCTTCCACAGACTCTGTACATGCACAGTTTTCCAGGGCATGACTATGTACTCCTGGTAGGTCCATTTCTCTTAAAGGCACAGTTACACCTCTAAGGGCCCATTCACACCTGTTCATTAGCACATTGTGGTACTGTAATGCCTATAAAATGTGTTGGCCTTGGACCCTTTGTTTGTTGGGGAATTTTTACAATAATGCATCATTGCCCATATGCTAGAAGCACGAGAAATGACATTGATGTAATTTCTCTAGGCTAAAGGAACAGGGTTACAAGACATTAGACTGCTTAAAGCAGATAAGAAGTGTTTGTGGGATTGAACGTGTTTGTGACATCTAGAAATGTTACATTAGACTGCTTAAATTAGATAAGAACTTGTTTGTGCATTTAAAAATGTTTACTTGTTTGAGAAGTTAGAAATATTTAAGTTAAGGGTAGATAAGCTGATTTGTGGCAAAAGTGTGATATTAGACGTTGTTGTCCAGTAATGTGGCTGGGTATGACTCTATTATCTTCAATGGACTTTTCTGTTGGCTCCTCCTGGAGTGGGTGTGGCACTCACCCATTTTGGTAATGTTGCAAGAAGTGGTTCACAGGATATTTAAAGGGGAGCTTGCACATGGTGAGCCTTAGGAGCCTTCCTATGCAAAGGCGGACGTTCTGACGCTGGGAGTCTTACCAAGGCTACATGGGCTCATTGATTAGTCATGTTTAAGGCTTCTCCACGATCCGCTGTGCACTGCTCCGATGAGGTCTCCTTCCCGTCTTCCCATAGCTTTAGTAATGTATTAATTCTATGCTGTGATGCTGTCAAAAGATGTGTCTATATCATGCTGTAATGCTCACATTATTATTGGTGTGTTATTATGCAGATCGTGATGACTATAAGATGTATCCTGCATGTTGTGTGATAATAAAAGTAGAAGTTTTGACACTGCAGGAATACTGCAGTTGGATTCTGTTATTTCTTGGGGTGCCGAGTGACTGCTATTCCGTGCCAGGACAGGGGTTCATTTGGTAGAGGGTCTCTCACATGCTTAGAATAATGGTGTAAATGCTGGTTAAATCATACCTGTGTGATGTATGTGACTTGTTCTTGGTGTTTGTGTACAGTATTGCATTACAGGTGCCATTCATTTTCAATGGCCTCCACAATGCACTGACCCAAAGGACCTTTGGCACACATTCAAGCCACGCACCACAATGCATGGTATTTCACTATAGTCCACTGTGGTGCACTATGTTGGTGCACTGCATGTTTTTATTTTTGAACAATCTGCTTCATTAGTAGCCCATTCATTTGAATAGGCTGCCTTAATGCAATGCACATTGTCACATGTGCATTAATGAAATTCATCAGTAAATCAAAGTATGAATGGGCCCTTAAAGAACAGGAGGTCTCAGGAGAGACCACAAGAGTGGCATTAGAGAAACCAGCAGAAAGACCCTAGAAAGAATCGAGGGGGGAGGACAGACACTGAACAAAGTAGGTATCCAGCTACACTCCAGGTGGTTGACTAAACTGCCAATGGTTAACCATCCTGCAGGGTGAACATTCTGTAGAAGCATACCTAACAATTATGCATTAAATTTGCACATATGCTTAAGTAAAATACAGCAGTTGTCCTGCCATTTTGCAATACTGAGGGAAAGTTTTTGCTTTCAACTCAATTGCCTGTACCTCTTTTGCTTCCTCCCAAAAATCTGCTTGCTGAGCCTCATCAAAGGCTTGGTCCCTACCATGGCTGAGGACACTTCTCAGACTCCTACTGTTTTACGTTAGAAAGGTGATAACTATGCACTAGAAAAAGTCTTCTCCACCCTCCATTCAATTTTAACAACAATTGGTGAACACTAGTCTACCTCTCTAAAAGGACTCCTATGCTAATAGGTACTTCTTCAAGAAATTTGACAAGTTTGGGTAAAGTGGATAGCAAGTAATTCTGCTGCCTGGTCCCATTTAATTCTTCACAATTCTAATCCCTCCATATCTTAGGTCCACAGTATTACTCTGGGGTACTAACCTGACAAGGGGTATTGTCTCTCTGTTATACTCCTTTTCTAGCACGAACCACACACATGCACGCTTTTTCATATGTTTGTTTTGTTTTATTGAGTTGTTGGCAATATGTACTTGGTATATACTGGGTAGTATACCCCTGTGAAGGCTTGTTCACTCTTGACTAAATTTCTGACTCTTAACAAATGCTCCTATTGCGTTAGTATGGGTGTTAGATGGGCGTTTGTTAAGAGTTAGAAATGTAATCAAGTGTGAACTAGGCCTTAGGGTTCAGCCACTCTACTATTTCTTTGTATACCTTTCTAAAAACCTAATAAAAGATTTTGGAAGAAAAAGAAAATACATCAGTTCTGATACATTTTATACATAAATAGTACAAAACTCAGAATAGATTACTTAGTAACTTACTAACATAGCACTTTATCACATAAAAAATATCAGACTGCCCAAACTATTTCCTAGATAGAGATGTAGGTTTTTGGGCTTTACTGGTTCCTTATTGTCATTGATTTTTCTGGCAATAAATTCTACTGTATAGGATAAAAGTTTAGAACAATATTTAAGGTATAAGACCAATAATATTAACACACTAATTACACAACCCCTTTTTTTTTAGTTTGTAAAATATAAGGGAAATGAAGATGTAATCCGGACAAGGATACTTAAAATCCTAAATTACATTAACACAGTAAGTAAATGTATATTTGTGTCATCTAGTTTTTAGAGCTTTGATGGTTTTGTGGTGTGATTCAGATTTTATAAACCTTAGTGTACATGTCTGCTAACACAGGCCCTCAACCCAAAGAACTATAGCCAAACTTTTTCAGGACCACATTCATATTAACAAGTTGTACTAAACAGATTTGAAGTAAAATGTTAGGGTCACCATACACATTACCATCAATGTGTTGCCCAGTTACACTTGTCAGCGTCTTGCCCCCCTCCCCCAGTTATACTGGCAAGTCAGTATAGCAGCCTCAATTACATTGGCAGTAACTGTAGTGTTCCCAGTTCTTAGCTGTCAGTCTAATGCCCCTTTAAACTGGTGGTTAGTGAGGTGCCTTCTTTGAATTGATGGTAAATGTTTTGGTGCCCCCTTTAAACTGGAGGCCAGTGTGCTGCTACAATGGCTTGTTGAATATGTTATGTACAGTATATGTTTTTATGTATTTGGTATGTTTCTTTGTTCTCCCTCTGTTTTTGCTCCTAGTTAGGCCAGCACTTGGTCAGACACTATTGCCCCTATTCCTTTTTTAAAAGCAGAATTAAACTCAAAAACAAACATTTATTATATTGTAGCTTACCATTTTTGTGATAGCTGCATTTGTTTTTTGTTCACACCAGATGCACTCCAGTGCGTTTTATTTCTGCATCAAAAATACATGCACAGTGTTTTCCATGTATTCTAGTTGCCCTAGTTCACACCAGTGCAGTCAGTTCCCGTCAGTTTCCGGTGCAGAAAAAAAAAAAGTAAAACATACTGCATTTTTTTCTGCACAGGATTATACTGGCACACAGCAAAATGCATACAAAATGCACTGGAACGGAGTGTGTTGTGAACTGTAAGCAAAATACATCTGGAAAGCATCTTGAGTGCATTTGTGCTCATAAACAGACTGATTTTACTGTTGTGGGTTTAGTAACACTTTAAGTTGGTTGTCATTGGCTTTGATACCCCCTTACATTTAAAGTCAATTCAATTTTTAAAGCTATTGAAAGCTGAGTATCTTTGAATGTCACATTGTCAGCCTACCAATGGAAGACATTTATAATATACATACCTCTTTTATTATTATTTTCAGGTGTACAAGCTGCTAAATATATTTGTGACATTGACTGGCATGGAAATCTGGAATACAGAAGACCATTTTCAAGTAGTCACAAACATACATCATACACTAGACAGATTCTCTGATTGGAGGAAAAAAAATCTGTTCCCCAGGAAACCCCATGATAATGCTCAATTTTTGACGTAAACCTTGCTTGTATTTATCTGTTTATATTAAAAAAAAGGAAGAAATATAAGGAATATGAAGTGCTGATTAGTGTATCACAGCATGATTTTTGGCAGTTGTCTACACTTTGTATTTATTGGTTTTTTTTACTGTTAGTGGCAGGTGTTATCTATTGATATTTTACATATTCATTTGGCTTACTTACCATAGTACCTACTTATTCTGTAGGTTGGCATTTGATTGGTGAGCTGATTGGACTACTGATATAGTTACAGCCTTTGATACAGCTTTATTCCTAGAAATATCTACAGCCACCAATATAATCATAGGGGTGGGTACGAGGCACTGCATACCACAAATGTAGAGGGCTTTCACCAGTGGCATACTAAAGGGGGTGCAGGGGAATGCAGACCTACTGAAGGTGCTGAGGCTGTCCAACATTAATTTTATTGTGTTGCATGGCGCTGCTCCAATAAAACACGCAGACATTTAGGGGAATTTATGAAAACTGGAGCATACAGAATCTTGAGCAGCTCTGCAAGGCAACCCATGCATGGCAAGAAAGTAGCTGATTGGTTGCCATACAGAGCTTCTCGAGGTTCTGTCTGCTCCAGTTGTGATAAATCCCCCTCAATGTGTTTTACATTTTATGCTCCTGGCCACTACACAGTAAGTACATTACTCCTGAAGTTCTTCTTTAAGGTAGGCTGTGTGTAGAAAAGCATATGTATGAAAAAGTTTCATTTTATTAAAGTGATTGTAAATGCTTAGTTGTTTTTTTTTTAATAACAAACAGGTTTATACTTACTTGCTTTATGCAATAGAATTGCACAGAGCAGCCCTGAGCATCCTCTTCTCGGGTCACCTGCCGTTTCTCATGGCTCCTCCCCTCTGCTTAGTGCCCCCATAGAAAGCTGCTTTCTATGGGGGCACTCCTGTGGGCTCACTCCTGAACCTTGCTAACTGTGTCTATTAACAAAGACAGCGGGACTCAGCCCTGTCCACTGCCCCCTTGTCAGTGCCTTCCACTGTCTTAGCTAAGCCAGTGAGACCAGGAAGTGAAGGGAGAGAAGAACTGCAGACCTGCTGAATCGAATGAGGGCTCAGGTAAGTATAAGGTGGGGTGAGGGTGGATTCTTTTTTATTTTAATACAAGGAATGTAAAAAGGTAAAAAATATTTAGGCTTTATTACCACTTTAAAATGAATGTGTTGAGGTTTATACATGTCTGTTACACTCTTGCTCGTGGAACAGTCATTAAAGTGTTACTAAACCCAGGACCCTGAATTCACTATATCTGGTCTCCCACAGTACAGACAACATGGAAGTGCAATTATTTTAGTAAATATAAACTGCTAAATACCTTTTCTCATCAGCAGTTAGAGCAGTCTTGTGACTTCTATTAGTGTCCAGCAGAGCACTGGTTAAAGCTTGTAGGAGGTGTTTTCTTTCTGCTCTAGGAGGATGCAGAACCCCTGACCTCTGTCTGGACAGTGCTGATTGGCCCTGTGCTGATCACATGCACTCTCCCAAGAAGAAAAACCTCTCTAGCAATACACACTAATACACACCAAACTGAGCATGTGCAGAAGGGCTACGGGTTTAGTCTGTCTTATCAGGAGATAATACATGGACATTTGAACAAGAGGAGGGGCAGAGAATAAAGGATCAAATGGCCTTTTTACACAGTGCAGAGTATTAACCTCTTAGGTTCCACAGTGAAAATAACATGCATGCTTTACTGCATATACAGACTGAATTTACTGTTGTGGGTCACACTTTAAAGCATATTTTATGGGTAAAAGGACTTTAGCATATGTGTGTTGAGTATAGGGGGAGTAGGCTCAGGTTTTATTTACCTAGGCCCCTTTAAGCCCCTTCCTTGCAATTTGACCACCAATAACTCAGTGCAGCACATTTTGTTGTTCATAACATTTTTTGGATGTGGGGGTGTAAAAAAATTACCTGCACTGGGTGCCAGATATGCTAGGTATTCCGCTGGCTTTTATAGAATCAGAGGGGTCAGCAGAAGGAACCATGGCAGGGAACACAAGCACCAACATCACCTAGAATTGAGGGACATTAATGTCATAGAGGGGAGTATACTATGTCTTCTGTTGCTGCTGGTGTTATTTTGTTTTCTTTAAAGACCTGATGGAGTCTCTTTGATTGCCCATTTATCTGTCTGTCCAGTTGATTCCTCTTTAGATTTCTATTGTACAACGTAAGTTAAACTGCTAAACACCGACAAAAAACATGAAAACATTAGCATTTTTTGTCCAGCATTGCTACAGGAGTTTTCAGCTTCTGTATATGTTTTTGTTTCTTTCAGGAATGTTGATTTTGATGGCAATGATGTGGGACTAGCTTACACTAAAGAAATGTGTGATGATAAATGGTCTGCAGGAGTAAACCAGGTGAGACGTGAAACACTCCTCACAGTCCGTGGCTGATCATTATTGCTATTACAATGTTTTTTACTACAAGAATGTTAGTAGTATCCAGGGATACATGAACAACTGCCTGTTAGCTTAAAGCCCAACTCTGGCAAAATGTATATAATTATCCCTTGCAGTGGGGCTGCAAGGGATACCTGCTTGTGTTGTCTAGGGAAGAGGAGAAACACTTTTACTTACCTGATCCTCTGTTTCCCCATGCTCTGGCAGTGGACTGTCCTTTGGCGTCATCAAGTCCACTACAGAACTAAGGGCCCTGCATTGGTCTTGATGATGTCAGGACCCTAGCCTGCAAGAGTGCAGGGTAGAAGATGCTGTGGGGACAAGTCTAGAAGTGGAGGAGACCAGAAGATTGGGCAAATAAATCTTCTTTTATTGTTTCCCTAGACCTAAATGAGTAATTAACCTTTGCAGCATGGGCATAACTTTTTAGCTCCCTGGAGTTGGGCTTTGAGAGCTTATGTCAGCAGGCTTCAGAACTGCTTTATTCCCTGTACAATTCTATTTAAAAGCAGCCACAGCAGATCTACTGCACCTATAATGGATTTGGAATGATGTCAAAAGCCTCTCATAGGGATGTTGAAAGTATGCTGTATTTGCCCATAAACACTTGCATTAATGCTGTTATTTACAGGATTCAAACACATTGTCAGAACAGACAGTAGATCTTCCTAAGTATTTAAATGTGACTTACTGACACTCTCAGAGTCAGAAAGGTGTTAAACCAAGTACACAGCAATATGCAAAAACACAGTGTAAGCAGCTGAGTAGGGTTAACCACTTGACCAGGCCATTTTTGCAATATGGTAATTTATGTCATTTTTTGTTCCCACAAATAGAGCATTCTTTTAGTGGTATTTGATCACCTCGGGGCTTTTTATTGTTTGCTCTATAAATGAAAAAACACCAACATTTAAAAAGAAAAAAAAAAGAAAAATTTTACTATTTGCCATAAAACATATTCAATAACAAAAAATTTTTAAAAAATAAAATTTCTTCATAAATTTAGGCCAAAATGTATTCTGCTACATATGTTTGGCAGAAAAATCCCAATAAGCATATATTGATTGGTTTCCGCAAAAGTTATATCACCTACAAATTTTTTATTTATTTATTTATTTCAGGTACTTATATAGTGCTGTCAATTTACACAGCGCTTTACACATATATTGTACATTCACATCAGTCCCTAACCCTCAAGGGGCGTACAGTCTAAGGTCCCTAACTCACATTTATACATACACATACTAGGGACAATTTAGACAAGATCCAATTCACCTACCAGCATGTCTTTGGAGTGTGGGAGGAAACCGGAGTACACGGAGGAAACCCACGCAGGCACAGGGAGAACATGCAAACTCCAGGCAGGTGGTGCTGTGGCTGGGATTTCAACCAATGACCCTAGTACTGCCAGGTGAAAGTGCTAACCATTTAGCCACTGTGCTGCCCAAATGGCGGTATATATACTAGATTTTTTAAATTAAATTTTTACTAGTAATGGCAATTTATAGTGGGACTGTGATATTGCTGCAGACAGCCTGACACTAACTGACACTAATATAGTGTTCAGTGCTAAAAATATAAACTGACACTGTACTAATGACACTGACTGGGAAGGGGTTAAACATTTATTGTGATCACAGGGGTAATTGTGTGCCTAGCCAGTGTTTTTTGTGTGTACAGTGTGCTGTTTTTGCTAGGTAATCTGCTAGATTTTATTCCCTGAATAAAATCTAGCAGATTGCCACTGACAGAGCACAGCTCTGCCTTGGTTACATAGACAGAGCTGTGTTCTGTCAGTCTCCTTGACGATCAACAGGTGACGGCGGTGATCATCCATTGTCCAGCACCTGTTGATCGGCTTGCAGAAGTGGCGCTCCAGCATTTCCGCACCCCCCCCCCCCCCAGTGACGGAAATGTAACGTTTATATACGTGATTTTGCACAGAACATCCACCATGCATGTAGCAGTAAATCTGCTATAGGGTGGATGGAAAGTGGTTAAATAGTCTTGCTGTACCCAGGCTGTGATTGATGACTTGCATCCTACGATTGTTGGTAGACACCTGTAGGAGGCTATTGGAATTACAAGCTGATAACCACTTGAGCACCATACCACCTCTGTCAAGTTGTTGCCAAGTTGTAGCATTATTATATGGACATAAACCAACATAAACCAGATGCAGTTACAGTACATGTAGCTGATTCATAAAAATAGGATGCATTCAATTAAAAATTAAGCCAGATGGCTTCCTAATCTTCCTATCCTATCCGGAATTTACTTGGGATTCATACCCTGATGGGAGGTCTCCTTTAACATTACATCAGGATGTTTTTACAACTCTACTCTATGTTATGTTTCCTTTAACTTCTGATAATGCTGTTCTCTAACAATGTTCATAGGATCACTCTGCAGATCCTATTAGGGTTGGTGCAACCATGGCACATGAAATGGGGCACAATCTAGGAATGAATCATGATGAAAATGAATGCAAATGCTACCCTAAACCCTGTATCATGACACCTTCTTTAAGGTAAGTGACTCAAATACCAATTTTCACAAGCTGATGTAAGCAGGGATGTAAACCCATTCACAAAAATCTATTGAACTCTTTAAAGATGAAGTTTAATCTGCTTATATTTTGCCTTTCCTTGTACTCCCATCTTCCATTTTCCATTCCATTTTTAAATAATACCTTTCTGTTTTTATTAGACACCTTGTTTTAGATCTAGTGAGATCACAATTGCCAACACTTGACAATAATTAATATAAACAACCAGGGCCAGTGCTACCACTAGGCAAACTAGACAGCGGCCTAGGGCGCACTGCCACCTAGGGCACAGTCATGGTCAGGGCCACTGATAGGGCAGTACAGCCAGCTCTCCTGTAACATTAATGATATTTTCTCTAGGCCCCATCAGTTCACCAGAGGGGCCCAGGAAGCAAGGAGCAGAGAGGGACAATTTTTTTTTATTTTCCAGCACAGCAGCTAAAGCCACACTGCGTTTTGCAATGCTGATCAGTGATCAGCTGCTCACAGCCTTTCACTGGTGGAGTAATTCTTTCACTGGCAGTGTGATTATCCCTTTCCTCCGCTGTGGAGGGCAGAAGGCGAGGATGTAGCCTGGTGGTGGGAGGTGATTCAACAGCAAGATGGCCGAGGGCATAGGCAGCAGTGGGAACTCAATGCACAGGCAAGCTCACAATTTCTGTTAGCTGAGGCAAAGAAATGTGTTGCTGAGCCACACTTTTACCGTCCCCCAACCACTCCCCATTATGCTGCAAAGGCACTGCCACCATAGTATGACAATAGTGTCAGGGTGTTGTGTAAAACCTCCTGCTTCCGTACTACATCAACGTTTTCCCAGAAACTGTATATGCCATCATAACCTTTGATACTGTACCTCACGACAAAGCAAATAGACTTGCAATTTCAGTCACAGAGGTGCCAGCTATGCGGGCACCAACAATTCACCCCCTTTGAAGCTCAGTGCACTTTGACAGGACACAGTATTACTAGCTGCGTATGCAGTGAATGACGAAAGTGAGGCTTCCCATCTGTTAGCTAGGTGTCTCATCACACAGCGGAAGCAAAAGAGTGTTACATCACTTCCGCTTTCAACGCTAAACATGCTGTCACTTTCATACCTGCAAATTATGTAGTGTTTCAGTTCTTTTGTCTAACATATATATAATGAAAGAAATATATATTATTTATTTTCATTTATTTTTACATATTGTAACCAGTCAGGGTCCCTAATCACCACCGCACCTGTCAGTGTCTCTGATCTCCACCATACCAGTCATATTGTCCCTAATCACCACCACACTAGTTCATGACCCTGATCATTGCAACAGCAGTTACAGTGTCCCTGATCAATGCCACACCAGTCATATTGTCCCTAATCACTGCAACAACAGTCCTAGTGTCTCTGATCACCGTCACATCAGTTATATTGTCCCTAATCACTGCGACAACAGTCTGAGTCTGCCTGATCACCACCACTACCGTTACAGTGTACCTGATCATCGCCAAACCAGTCCCAGTGTCCGTGATCACAGCCACACTAGTCATATTTTCCATAATCACCACCACACCAGTTGCAATGTCTCTGATCACCGCCACACCAGTAAGTGTCCCAGATCATTACTGAATGTGCAGCTTATGCCCCTAGATAGCCTGAAGGCGCTCCTTGGATTTTGGGCCTCTCTATATAGCTAGGCTGTGAAAAAGTGTCACAAATGTGAAATGTGTTTTAGGGTGTAATTCTAAGTATACCTATGGTGTGTGTTAGAAATATCCTATCAATTGACAACTTTGTGTAAAAGCATACATTTTCATTTTCTTTCCTGCATTTTCCAAAAACTTCTGATAAAAAATGACATTTTCAAAAGATTCACGATGCCTGTCAGAAAATACCTTGGAGACAAGCGCGTGCTTTTCAAATGTGGTAATTTTGTGTGTCCTGGTGCTCCATTTTTGGACCCCCAAAAATGTGATATTTAGTTGGGAAATTAGATGTGTAATTTGTGCTCCTTGAAAGCCCCTAGGGCGCCTTTGGATTTTGGTTCCCCTCAATGCATCTAGGCTGAGAAAAAGTCTCAAGCATGTAGTATCCTCACACTCAAAAGGCAAAGAAGAATGTGTTTTTGGGTGTATTTGTAGGTATGCCTATGCCGTATGTGAGAAATTAATATTTAATTTAAGTTTTTTAAAATTTGATAAAAAAAAATACAACTTAAAAAAACTCACTATGCTTCTTGTTGAATACATTGGACTGCCTACTTGCCATTAAGCAGTCATTTGGGGAGTATTTGAACTGTCTCAGAATTTTAGGAAAAATAATTGAAATAAGCAGTCAGTACATCAGGACTGATCAATATACCATAGCTCATAGACCCTAACACTTTCACATAGACTAAATAATATATACTGATTTGGGTTATATTTACCAAAGAAATGTAGCAGCATTTATGAAGAAAGAATTTGTGTGCAAAATTTTATAGCAGAAACCAAGAGAAATGTTTTTTTTTTTTCAAAATTTTCGCTATTGTTTCATTAATTTAGCACTAAAAAAAAAAAAAACAGTGGTGATTAAATACTACCAAAAGAAAGCTGGGGGGGGGGGGGGGGGGGGGGGGGGGGGGGGGGGGGGGGCTATTTGTCTAAATATGAGAACAATTTCATTTGGGTAAAGTGTTGCATGACTGAGTAATTGTTATTCAAAGTGTGACAGCGCCGAAAGCTGAAAAATGGCCAGGACTGGAAGGGGATGAAAGTGTCTGGTCCAGAAAGGGGTTAAGGTACTTTCAGTTACTTTTTCAAATATTAAATGTGCAAACTCATGTTAGGAGTGTTGAGGTTTCTAAAAATGTTTGGGAATCCAGAGTTCAGATTGAATGTTTAAGGCTATGTTTACACATGTGGCTGTCACTGTCATGCCTCTGAAAAACAATCAGTAGTGAAGAGAAGGCAGTGTGGGAAGCGATATGTCTCCTTCTCACTGCCTGTTTTAACCCTGTAAAAGCCACATCACAGTCCCATTCACTTGAATGGGTCACATTCACACATGGTACTGCCTGCCGAACACAACAGGGAGCTTAATGTTTGCCAGGTTGGGGGTGGTAAAATGAGTCTCAACCAAGTGTTTTATGGCCCCCAATCACAAGTGTAAATTAGCCCTAAGTTCTTCAGACAATGGTAATCTCTTGAATAAGTGGCTATTAAGCTCTAAATACAATTTGTTCCTTTATGTGCAAAATCATATTTTAGCTGCTTGCCTCTCAACATACAGAGATATGCCTTGTCCCCTGGACACCATATACCTCATCACTCTTATTGTGTATCTCCTTTTACAGCGGTGATACTCCATACAAGTTCAGCTCTTGCAGTCATCAGAGCTATCAGAATTTCATTGAAAATCAAAAGTCACTCTGTATGAAAAACAAACCACAAAATTCTGATATTTTGAATGATCCAGTGTGTGGAAATCAGTTCACAGAGGCTGGAGAGGAATGTGACTGTGGCACAGTGGAGGTAATTATGCCTTGTCACCTATAAACTTGTTTGTGCCAGAGAACCTTCACTTTTTCTGTAGTTATTTTTATGTTTTTAAAAAAGTTGATATAGTATGGAGATTTGTTTGCTATGAAAATTATATTAAAGGTTAAATGCTAAATAAAACCTGACAGAACACAAAAAATGATTACTTATTAGGGAGATGCAGCAACCCATAGGGAGCAATGAATTACAAAAAAACCCAGAACATTGTGATATAACACATTGTGATTTATAAATAGCCATTAGCCCTTTTCTGTGTTGTATTTTGACTTGGTTGAAAAAAAAAGTAATGTTCTTTACCTGTGCTAATGCTGTCCATCCAGCCCTGGGATTTACACAGCTCTGTTACACATGTCAGGGGTGGAGATCTGATTTTTTTTTCTGCCACAGTAACACTTGGAGGTTTCCACCCCACCCAATGCCTAGACAGGGAAAGGAAAATCAGCACACAAATTAATTCATTTCTGTGTCACTCGACTTTCTCCTCCTACCGACATGCTTCTTACATTGCAGCACAATGGATTGGCAACTTGTGCTGCTTCTCCCTCCTCCATTCGAAGCTCCACTTTAAAGAGACTGCAGGTGGTTGATACCAAGTCAGATTCAGGTAGTTACTGTGCTTTTAAATGAAAATACATTTCATGATGTAGTAAAGAATACAGAGCTACAATAATTTGTCTTCTTCATCTACAGTAGCTGGAGTTCAGCTTTAAGCAATAGGCCCCTTGCACACAGGGCCGTCTAGGAGCAGTGTGTCCTTTCCAACATTCTAGTATGCTCAGGAAGGACAGGAGCAGTGTCCAGCCCCGCTGCAGACAGCCTATCAAAATGTATGGCAGGCTGTGGCTGGATTGAACTAAATGCCGTATTGAATGGTACCCACATTTGGGGCTTTGTGCATTCAGGGACGAAAGTTGTAGAGGGCCCTAAATGCAGGTACCAATTGATACAGTGTTCAGTCCTATCCATGGACTTTGACAGGCTGCCCGCAGTGGGATTGAACGCAGCACCTGTCCCTCCTTAAGCTCCTAAATCTGGCCAGGTCTACATAGATGTAGCCACTTGTTAGCAGTCATCATTTTACAGCATACTGAAACTAAAGTGATGTTTATGAGACATCTGTTGACAAGCAGGTAAATATATAAAAGATAAACTGCTAACACTTAAGAATTTGGCTCATCCACCCCAATGCGCTTCACAGGACTGCTGTCTTAGCCATCTGTAGAATGCATCATAAAATGGAATAAGGTCTGCACAATCACATTAAGCATTGAAGATTTTATTGGACTTAACAAGCAGTATTTCATAGGATGCCTTGATGCCTTTTACTCAGAAGTACTTACTCGTAATTACAGATGATAGCCTGAATAAACAGCATTTACCAGCCAACTGGCTGAAAACCCACTTATCCTTCAAGATGCTGCTGTTGCCACACTGCATGTGGTTTTAAAGTTTTAACACCATTCTAATGCATTGATGATTCCTAACATAAATTATACAATAGCTTGGAGCGCAAATAAACAGGTTAATATCTCAGAGATTAAATTGCCCAGCTCTAGATTACACAATGCAGACAGTATAGACCAGACATTGTAAGCCAGGGTTCTTCCATAGGTTGTTAGGGGTTCCTTGGGCTTTGACTTATAGACCTCCCATTTGATGGTGCCTGCACAATTCTAGGACCATTGTGAGCTAGCTAGCAGCTTGACACCAACGTTCTTTTTACCTGTCTATAAGGGTTGCATTCTTCCTACTGACTGTCACTATAAGAATCATTTCCCCCAAAGACCCATTATGAATTGGATTTAATAAGGGTTCTATGAAAACTGCAGCTGCCAGGAAGCTGGAGCAGTGAACTTGAGTTTGGAAACACAGCAATCCTCCCAGTAACAGTATGGAGTCAGGTCTCAAGCTATATTTGGCACCAGCCAGGCAGACAGATTCAGAATCATGATCAAGTTCAAGGTCAGGAACAGGCAGGAGTCGGCAGTGTGTGCTGTTGGTGAGGTACCAAGTTAGGAGGCAGAACCGTGGTCAGAAGTCCAAGCCATGGTCCATAACACAGTGGAACAGAAGACAGACAGATTGAGGGGCAATCCAAAGAGAGGTGTCAGGCGTAGCCAAGTCAGTAAAAATGTAAACAGACTTTTAGGAACTCGGAACGCAGGAACCAGAGCCGAAGACAATCCAGCAATGAGGCCAGGCAAATCTTAGGTTTAAATAGCCCGCTGGGCACCAGAATCTCTGGGTGTGCCCATGTGCCCATGCATGCATTGAGGCCTGTTTGTGCTTATGTGTGTGCGCATTCTTGTCCTTGCACATGCGCACGGAAATGAGCACCTGCTGCATGGGAATCAGCACTTGCTGTACGAGATTCCAGACAGTAGCATAAAGATAAAAATAGTTCATGTTGATTGAGAGAGTTTAGTTCTACTTTAAAGTGTAAGGAAAATTTCAAAAAGTCCCCCCCCCCCCACTATGCTAATCTTACTCAACCCACTCCACATAAGTTAGCTCTGATGAACCCTATCTACACTGCTCAAAAAAAAAATAAAGGAACACTTTTTAATCAGAGTATGGCATCAAGTCAATTAAACTCTTGGGATATTGATCTGGTGAGTTAAGAGGGGGTTGTTAATTAGTTTCAGCTGCTTTGGTGTTAATGGAATTAACAACAGGTGCAATAGATGGGCAACAATGAAACAACCCCCAAAACAGGAATGATTTTACAGGTGGAGGCCACTGACACTTTTTTCCCTACTCATCTTTTCTGAATGCTATTCAGTAGTTTTGCATTTGGCTAGGGGCAGTGTCACTACTGGTAGCATGTGGTAACACCTGGACCCTACAGAGGTTGCACAGGCAGTCCAACTCCTCCAGGATGGCACATCAATATGTGGCATTGCCAGAAGGTTTGCTGTGTCTCCCAGCACAGTCTCAAGAGCATGGAGGAGATTCCAGGAGATAGGCAGTTACACTAGGAGAGCTTGACATGGCCGTAGAAGGGCCTTAACCCATCAGCAGGACTCGTATCTGCTCCTTTGTGCAAGGAGGAACAGGATGAGCACTGCCAGAGCCCTACAAAATGACCTTCAGCAGGCCACTGGTGTGAATGTCTCTGACCAAACAATCAGAAACAGACTTCATGAGGGTGTCCTGAGGGCCTGACATCCTCTACTGGGCCCTGTTCTCACTGCCTGGCACAAGAATTGCAAAAGGCCAACCTAAATACATAGACAGTATGATAACCAATAAAGATCTGAAAAGAAACAACAAATATGAAGGGCTATAGCCTCTAAAGTCCAGCCTAAACAATCAGGTCAGTAGTGCACTAGAAAAATATGTAAACTTGGTATGGCCAATCCAAAAGAAAAAGGAGAAAAAAGGTGTGTTAATGATGATGTCCAACAGAATGTATCCTCTGGAAGTCCATGAATGTGTACTATATCAGATATTCCACAGACAGCCTGCAATGGTCTATCTTTACCATTGCAGGCTGTCTGTGGAATATCTGATATAGTGCATTGCACCGTATATGGAATATTATTTGGTGGTATATGTATTTTAGGTTGCACAGTTATGTATTTCATAGAGATTAATCATCATTTGAAGATCAATGAATTTTTAGTTTGCACATATTCTTTTGTTCATTTATCACATTTAAAGTGAACAACGCACTTTTTTCAATGTGTTGAAATTGTTTAGTCTGGTATTCAGGAAGATAGTAGCAGCAGTTCACTTTTTCATTATATACAGTACAATATAGCGCAAAGATTTTCTTCTTTTTCATTAGGAGTATGTCCCAACGTTGTCAGGCATGCATACAAGCACGTGGGGGCCACACAAACTACTGAGTACCATTTTGAGCTTTTGCAATGAAATTTCAGAAAAATGGACTAGCCTGCTGCATCATTTTTTCACTTTGATTTTTGAGGTGTCTTTGAATTCAGTCCTCTGTAGGTTGATCATTTTAATTTCCATCAAATGATGGGGCATCCTTACGTTCCTAACACATTACTCAGTCCGCATTAGTATAGATATCCTGCATGATATTTTACCCTATTGAGATCTGATGTGTTTTCAAAGTGTTCCTTTAATTGTTTTGAGCAGTGTATATTAACAATATAAAGAGTCTTTATAAGAGTCTCTAGCTCCCTGGTCTCCTCCTCCCACCACCGACTGCAGGACTTCTCCAAGACTTCCCCCATCCTCTGGAACTCCCTACTCCAATCCATCAGACTGTCACCTACCCTCCTCACCTTTAGGCGCACCCTGAAAACCCATCTCTTTAGGGAAGCCTACCCCACCCTCACCTAACAACCGATCTCCTCCACTTCTCCCACCACTCCATCCCCCACAGCCACTTCCTCCTGTACCACTTCCCCTCCCTCCTAGATTGTAAGCTCGAAAGAGCAGGGCCCTCGAACCCCTCGTGTATTGTATTGCTACTGTTTTGTCTCATGTTCTTTCCCCCTTGCTATTGTACAGCGCTGAGCAAACCCTTTGGCGCTATATAAATACTGTATAATAATAATAATAATAATAATAATGTATAATAATAAATGGCAAAGCAAGTCCCACTAAGTAAGCCTAGAACTATGGAGTGGCCACACAGACCCAGGTTAGAAGTGGTAGACTACTCCTTGATTGATTAGGTGTCTATATTTCTTTCTTATATAACCTTGCAAAGATAAAATTAAGGATTGTTAGCAGCCAGAAAATAGTCATTTTGTAAACATACAGTGTAATAAATAGAGCCAGCTATACCCATGTATAATTGACGTGATCACCTTTCCCTTCCTGTTACAGGAATGTACCAACAACTGCTGTGATGCCACCACCTGCAAACTCAAACAGGGCGTTCAGTGTGCAGAGGGAGAATGTTGCAAAGATTGCCAGGTAACACTCATAAATAAGGAAAGAGAGAGAGAGCAAGTGAAAGAGATAAGATGGGGTAGAAAGGCAAATTTTAGCAATAAATAAATATGGCGTCTTTTTATTTCGCTTTGTTTGTACAGTTTGGTGGAAAAAGATACTGGTCCACACATTTTTCGTAATAGTTCAGAGGTGTAGTGTTGGGTCCATGGGTAGAGGGTTTGGAAGGGTGTATTTGTTCATAGATTTAGTTTGTAAGTTTCTTTGGCAAACCACTATCTATACAATACAGGATTGTTACAGGTGGTCCTTGTAGAAATCTTCAAAGACTGAAATGACTGAAGCACCAACTCACTACTCAGTGTCTAGAATGGACTTTATTAGATGTGGCAGTCAACAAAGGAAAGCTAGTGGTTTCCACTGCTAAACAGTCAGCATACATGAGAAACAGAACTGTCCATTGCAAATAACATTAAATATATTCCAGACTTTAGAACAATACTTCATAACCCTGAACAAGGGAGGTGTTTGTAGCTCCAGAAATGCGTTGACTTTCTTTTGTTTACTGTTATGTCTAAAAAAGTCCATTCTAGATTCTGACTAGTGGGTTGGTACTTTTCCTTTGCACATCTTTTGTTTAGCACATTTTAATGATATTATCTGCATTGTGAAAAGTTGTGTAATATAAGCGATGTGTGTTAACTGTGCTCATTCTGCATTCTCGACCCCCTAGTTAGTCAGCTTCTGCAAATTCTGCTAATAAGTTCTAAGAATGGAGGAGGTGGGCCTTTCACTCATTCGTCAATCCTCCATACATAGATCATTTTATATTGATAGAAGCTATAGTACAGCTTCTATGAATGGGGGGGGGGGGGTAAGGGTGGGCATAGCTGGCACTCTTCAAGAGCGCCTATGCCAGGTCCCTTGGCTCATTTTAACCCCCAGAGCACTGGAAGATTACAGGTGTGGGGGTGGGATCAAATAACCTAAGATTTTAACTAAAACAGCACCCAGCAGCATAAGGAAAATTTTCCCGGACTGTAATTACTGTCACTTGCTGGTTTTTTTTTTTGGTTTGACTTAACTTAAGCTTCAACATAAACCTGAAATGTAAACCATGAAAAGTGTGAAGTGTAGCATCAAGGAAGTTCCAAGTATATAATTTCTGTCTTTATTTGAAAACTTGTATAACCAGTGTCAATGTACTTTGGGGAGTCTCAAGAGCTTCCTTCCTGAGGGATTTGAAAGGGATGAATCGAGCTGGAAAACCTTGGAGGCTAGATCTGCGAGTTCAACAGGCTAAATAACCAGGGTAGAACACCTGTCAGATTTGTTTTCACATTTGTCCCTGTTGCAGATTTTCTGTCACTTCTTGTCTGGTGAAACCATTGTCAGCAGGAAGAGAAGTGAGTGTAAGGGCCAGTTCACACTACACGCGTTTAAGTTGCTTTTTTTTCTGCATCCAAAATGCAAAGAAAGTAGCTTATATGGTTGTCAAATGTCATAGTTTACATTAGTGCTCCGTTGGCAGAAAAAAAAAGTAGAATATGCTGCATTTTTTCTGCACAGAACTGTACTGGAATGCGGTGTAAAATGCATAAAAAATGCACTGGAACACAACAATAATACACTGGAATGCACATGTCCCTATTTAAATTGAAAAAAAAAGGAAAATTAACTGGAATGCATCAAAAACACACTGGAACGCATCAAAAACACACTGGAACGCGCCGCCAAAAAATGCGCATGCAAAAAACACACATCCCGAATGCATCTGGACTGCGGTTCTATAGTGTGAACCGGCCGTTAATATTTTTAATGGAGCCTGGAATAACAGTAAAAAAGAGAGAAATCAGCAAGAATGTTTTGGGTTAACATATAACTTTAAACCGGCCTTTTGCAAACTTTTTTCATGCTAGCGAAACCTGTAGCACTACCCATGCAGAAGCTGGATAGAATGGGTCCCTGTTGCCTTGATCTTCTCTAGAACCTCAACCCCTCTGACACAACAGGTTGAGTGTACAGACATACAGGGGTTTTATTTACTAAAACCGCACTCTGCATAGAAACCAATCAGCTTCCAGGTTTTAAGATTAATTGAACAAGCTGAAGTTAGAAGCGGATTGGCTACCATGTACGGATGCACCAGATTATGAGTGCTCCAGTTTTAGTAAATCTTCTCCACAATATCACAGAAAATCACTGAAAGTAATACTTAGTACCCAATAGTAGTGCTATATAAAAGAAAAACAGGCACCAAACCAGGTAATAAAGGCAAACATTATATTGTCACTCAATTTGGGTGGTAACTAGGCAAGCAAACAAAGTGATTAACAGTAAGGACTAGGCATAAGATGACATTTGGGGGGTTATTTACTAAAACCAGAGAGTACAAAATTAGGCTCAATTCTGTATAGAAACCAGTCAGCTTCCAGTTTTTATTGCCAAAACTTAATGGAACAAGCTGAGGTTAGAAGCTGATTGATTTCTCTGCAGAAATGAGCCTGATTTTGCACTCTCCAGCTTTCCTCAATAAAAATCTAGGTGTCCAGATCAGCACAAAGAGTAGCAAAGCCACCTCGAGTGCAGCAGTGAGCAGTAGTAAAGTTTAATCTACCGAGTCCTGGAACTATACTGTCAGAGAGCATTTATGACAGCAATTCTAGTTCTAGACCGACTGGGCATGCACTGTCCAAAAGAAAAAGAGGATAGTAGCAGAGGGGGCAGGGGAACAAAAAGGGGGAGGGGTGCACAATAATTTATTATGAGAGGGGCAGTCCTTTGAGATGTTCTTCTGCTGGCTATCGTTGGGGCCCTTTAGGAGTGCCAGTGTACTTAACGACAGTCACAGTTAACCTGCATGCAATTTAGGTACAGTATAGGTACAGTATAGGTACAGATGCAGCAAAGGTTTGGTGTAGTGCAGTACAGGGATGGTATAGGTGCAGTCTAGGTATGGAATAAGTGCAGCCCTGTTGTGGCATGGACTTTTTTGAGTATACTTGGTCTCCTGCTGTCAATGGCTCAGTCCCTGCAAGCAGTATTAGCAGTGGTGTGAATAGTCCTCTCAGCAGTCCTCAAGATGCTGTAGTGACCTCTTGATGTGGAAGAGGGATCCCCTTGGTCTCTCCCCAAAAGCCTCGGTGGTCAGTGGTTGGAAGCAGAGGGATGAGTGGATGTTCCATTCTTTCTGTGGAAGCGGTGCAGGTGCTGTGATATGAGCAGTGCTGCGCTGCCCCTGGGTGTTTTCACTCCAAGTCCCAGGCTCAAAATCTCCATTGGCATGGTCTCCAGCTGGCAGGTGAATATTTATAACTCCCTTGGTGCCAAGAGGAAGATTTTTTCCCATGCAGTTAAATAAAAATCCTCTCTCCACTCCTCCTACTGCACAGTGCAAATTGGTATTTGAAATGTAACCATTGTAATGTAGATATTATATGCCCCCCCACTGGCCGGAGGAGAATGATGCAGTATATACATCAGTATCTCAATCTCCCATTGCTGTAGCCCAGCACCTGGCTACAAACCCCTAATATAATTTTCAGGTCTCGGGAAACCCCTGCTAAATCCAATTCATTGGGGTTCAGTAGGGAAAATTACTCAGTTCATTTGCAGCCATTGGGAACCCTAATTGAGAATGACTACTTTAAAAAGTGAATACCACAAAAGTTCTCCAGCATATGGACCCCTTGGATCCATACATGCCCATCCCATTATCTTAATAGCCAGTTAGGCATTACTATAAACATTGAGACCCGGGGCACAGGTTTGACCTCCCTGATGCTTTCTCCTACTTCTCTTTCCTTCTCTCCCTTTCTTTCTTTCTTTTTTTTTTTTTTAATTTTCGAAGCTCTTCTGTAGGGATGATTTGTGCTTTGTTCTTATGCACTCTCATTTTATTTTTTGAATAGTGCATTTTTATACATTAATATCACCACGCACCAACGCCCGATTCCTCAGGGCATACGGCATTTCTGTTGTTACTTATGCTGTTCTTCCTTTGATGGGTAACATAGTCAATGGACTACGCTGATGCACCATAAGCTTGGTCATTGTTAAGGTTTTTGGGGGGGATGTATTATTGCCTCGGCTTGTAAGCTATTAACTGCATGTATCTGTCTGTAAATATGACAGAGGTTACATTGTGTATACTGGAAAATTTTTCATAAAATATTTATTGAAAGGAAAAAGTGAATACCACATGATGTGGTCTATGCACTTTTCACTTTGCCCCTTTTATTGGACCAATCAATAATGGATGCATACAAGTAGACAGTGAGATCTCAGACAGTTGTTGGGATACAGAAACCTCGTGGAACAAGCAGGGAGAATATGAGGGTGAAACACTAATTTCTTCCTGATCTCTTATGCCATAATTTGTTATAGAAAGTGGAATTTCCCTTTAACATAATTTAATTAACTAGATATTATAACATTTTTGGTTGTGTAAGCCAACCTCCATACGTGGACATTGTGCTTTTGCACTGTTACCTGTTCATTTGTTTTCTGGAAGATGGACTCTCTGATGTATAGTTCTGTGCTCCTCCTAGTCATATGACTTGCAGACATGACCTGAGGCTCAATAATCTGATTTACATTATGGTGTCTCCCCTCAGCTAAAGACTGCAGGATCTGTGTGTAGACCCACTAAAGATGAATGTGACTTGCCAGATATGTGTGATGGAAAATCTCCTATGTGTCCCTCTGACCGCTTCCAGGCCAATGGAGTGCCATGCTTGAATAAAGAAGGTTACTGCTACAATGGAAAATGTCCCACTCTCCAAGGTCAATGTAAGAGCTACTGGGGTCCAGGTAACAGACAATACTTTTGAATATTTCAAACACTATCTGTACAGCATATTTCTTCTATAATGATTGTGAATACAGCATCAGTACAAGCTCACATTGAAAACTACATGGTGAAAAAAATACTTTTTTTCTGCTTTCTTTCTAACTGTGAGATGGGAAGGAGGAGGTAACTGTAAACTCTAGGTGGGCATATATTAAAAAGATCTGTAATTCTGTTAAACCACACTTACAATTCACTCACCTATGCCGGACAGCATAGCTAGATTCCTGACCTCACTTTTCTTGTACTGCACTGAAGGCAGTGCATTTTGGTCAAGAACCCACTGTGGTCTGTGACTGGATCATGAATGAGCAGTAGCGCATTGAAGAGGACATTACTTATCTCTTTGTTAAGATCTTTGTATTTGGTTTGAGATCACTATGCAGTAAATGTCAGTCCACTGCCCCAAATGCTTATGTCTTTCCAGAAAAGGGGTTCTCTGCTGACCAACCAGTAGCTGTGCTATTGCCAAATCTGCTTCTGCTGTGGCTGGGTTGTATGTGAGACAGAAGCACGAGGAGTTTTTAACCACTAGCCTACAGGGCACTTATACCCCCTACCTGCCCAGGCCAATTTCCAGCTTTCAGCACTGTCGCACTTTGAATGACAATTGCGCGGTCATGCAACACTGTAGTCATATGAAATTTTTATCATTTTTTTTCACACAAATAGAGCTTTCTTTTGGTGGTATTTAATCACCTCCGGGTTTTTTATTTTTTGCTAAACAAACCAAAAACCACTGAAAATTTTGAAAAAAAAAAGTATTTTCTTAGTTTTTGTTATAAAATTTTGTAAATAAGGGAGTTTCTTCCTTCACTGATGTGCGCTAAGGAGGCTGCAGTGATGGGCACTGATAGGCTACACTGATGGGCACTGATAGGTGGCACTGATGAGGAGGCACTGGTAGGTGGCACTGATGGGCATTGACAGGCATCACTGATGGGCACTGAAAGGCAGCACTCATATATGGCACTGATAGGCGGCACTGATAGGTGGCACTGATAGGCGGCATTGACTGGCACTGATAGGCGGCACTGACTGTTAGGTGGCACTGTTAGGTGGCACTGACTGGCACTGCTAGGCTGCACTGATAGGTGGCACTGACTGGCACTGATAGGCGGCACACTGCACTGATAGGCAGCACTGGCTGGCACTGATTGGCAGCACTGATAGGTGGCACTGACTGGCATTGATAGGTGGCAATGACTGGCACTGAAAGGCATTGATGTGCACTGGTAGGCACTGATATGTGGCATTGATGTGGCACTGATGGGCACTGGCAGGTGGCATGGATGAGCACTGACAGCTGGCACTGATGGACACTGACAGGTGGTACTTCTGGGGCTACACAGATCATCAGGGCACACTGATCATCAGTGCCCTGATGATCAGAGCACATGTCCCCTCTGAGTATGCCGATTACTGGCTCTCCTCTCCTCATGAGCTGTCAGCGTGACAGCTCGTGAGAAGAGAAATGCCGATAACCAGCGTTTCCCTATTTACATGTGATCAGCTGTGATTGGACACAGCTGATCACATGACCGTGCCAACATCTTCGGCTCTTTCCGTTGGGACACAGCGCACCACCAATCACCGTGCTGCGCGCTCCTGGAGCCGCGCATGCGTGGTTAGAATGGGACGATGTCATATGACATCCTCCCAGAACAACAGAACCGCCTTGCGCCCATCGTTTTCTTATATGGCAGGCAGGAGGCGGTTAAGCAGAAACTCTAATCCAGGGGTTAGCAACCCATAAATTGCAATCTGGTGACTGGTAGATCAGGAAATGGGCTTTCTGACTCACCAGCCCAGAGCATCAAACAGAGTGCAATGGAGAGGGACTACTTGTAAAGTTGGAGCTGTAGTGGGGAGCAAGATCCACATAAGGCAATACCTCTTTAGTGCTGGCTCCTGTCATGTTGTTCAGGTAGATCTCCACCTCTTTAAGGTTGCCTAACCCTGCTCTAATCAATGCCTTACAGAGTACACCTATGTTTGTAGCCTAGAGGTGGAATGTCAGTGAGGCTTTTTTTTTAATGGCAGAACCAAGGGGGGCTGACTGACCTAAAGACTTTAGTTCAGCATAAAAACTGAACAACAGGCAAATCGATAAATACATATTTGTATTTCTGTGCCTCCAGTCCTGAAATCTGCTCAGCTCTGACCCACAGTACAGCTCTGTCTCTCAAGGATAGGAACCTGATCTTTCTCTTCTGCACTTTCACTAACAGGTCTCCTCTCCCTTCTGACCCTGTGACCAGACAGTAAAAGGAGAAGCAGCACACTGATGAGCTCATCTTTTTGCCCTCTTCTGTACAGAACAGGACAAAGTGAACTCATGCTTTTTGCTGCCTTCTAGTTGCAAACCTTATCCTCCCTTATCAGATTCACACATTGCCAACGTGTTTGTGGCCCCTAAGGTTTGCTTCTAATCCTCCCCCAATTCTCAATGCACTGGCCACACCTGGACAGCGGCTTCCCATGGGGTTCTATATGACCATCTCCCAAGTGTCTCCTGCCCCGGAACCCTATGGGAAGCCACTGAGCAGGTGTGACCAGCAAACTGTGGATTGGCAGAGAAATGTAAACAATGTAAAGCATGTAGGTACAATTGCAAAGTAATGATGCATCTTTAGAGGGGTGCTAGGTTAGTGCTGCAGTTGGCAGCAAAAAAAGGTAAATGCACTTTGTTTTAAAGAGCACTTATTGTTTAACAAAATATTTTTCCAAAATCTTACTTTGTGAAAATCTTTGCAGTTTCCAAGGTCTGTTGTTCTAATAGACACTGGGACAGAGAATAATTTAAAAATGAAGTGTTCAATCCTCCTTCATGTAATTGCCAGCAGGTTTAAATCATTCAAAAATATACAAATCTCTGCACTCCTTGCCACCCTTCCAATGTGATTAAGAAGTGCTTTACTTCTTCAGCCAGTAAATTGTGGTGGTGTGTACATAGAAAGTACAGTATAATTATTAGTAATGTCACTAGGATAAAGCCATATAAAGGAGAAGCTAAGAATACCAGAGTTTATACAACTGTCTTCCCTCTTTTCTCAAGAGTAACTGCAGAGTCGTAAACACAAAGTATAATACATGTGGCTATTTCATTCCGTTATTTGCTATTTTTACAATTAAGTTTTCAATATTGTACCAACTAATTGAACTTACATATTGCATTAAAGCATATTTAAACTCAAAAACAAACTGTGTCTGCAGTTTAACAGTTCTATACAGTGGCCATACTGTACTGTTTTTTTTCAGGTTATGTTTCTTTGTACTTTCCTGGTGATCTTGCAGGTAATAAACATTCTGTCCTAAGGTGACAACATTCACTCTCCATACTATATCTATGCAGGAGCAGTGTTGGCATTCTTGGGCAGCACTACAGAACACCTCCCCCTCTTCTCTGTAACACAGAGGGGGGCAATCTGATTATCAACATCAGTTTTAAATACAGTTTGAAGTAAATGCTGATGTTTTTACAATGTTTTCTTGTATGTACCCCTCTTCATTAGGGTCTGTTGTAGCAGATGATTCCTGCTGTGATACAATGAAGATAGGGTATTGTAAGGAATCTGTAGCTGGTATTGACTGTGCATCAAGGTAAGTGTAAATTGGAGACTAATCAGACATATTACAAGTCCAGTTTGCTAACAACTACTACAGTAATCCCCAAACAGCAGCATGCAAATTACACGTGATATACACTCACTGGCCACTTGATTAGGTACATCCAACACAACAAACACTTTACTCCTGCGCTAGGAAAGGACTCAGTAGACCCAATAGGAATGTTCTGGAATTTTCTGGAATATGCACTGCTTGCTGCCCTCAACAGACCGGGGTGGTCCAAATACACTGGATACAAATGGAGAAACAGAAAAAGGGCACACCGACCTAGTGCATTATCGTTTAAAAATAATTTATTGAAGAAGCAAAATAGGTATCATACTCACAATGGACATATTAACACAGGCATGTCAAACTCAGAGCCAACCTGAGGAAGAGGTTGTGTCCTCGAAACACGTTAGCCAGTTGGTCACCCAGGGTTCCATCGTATGGACTCGGATGTTGTTTGGATCATACATCTTGTTCAGTTTGACATGCCTGTGTTAATATGTCCATTGTGAGTATGATACCTATTTTGTTTCTTCAATAAATTATTTTAAACGATAATGCACTAGGTCGGTGCGCCCTTTTTCTGTTTCTCCACTTGATTAGGTACACCTGTTCAATTACTTGGTAACACAAATTGCTAATCAGCCAATCACATGGCAGCAACTCAATGCATTTAGGCATCTAGACGTGGTGAAGATGACTTGTTGAAGTTCAAACCAAGAATCAAAATGGGGAAGAAAGGGGATTTAAGTTACTTTGAACGTGGCATGGTTGTTGGTGCCAGATGGGCTGGTCTGTGTATTTCAAAAACTGCTGACCTACTGGGATTTTCACGCACAACCATTTCTAGGGTTACAGAGAATAGTCCAAAAACAGAAAATATCAGTGAGTTGCAGTGTGTGTGGACGAAAATGTCTTGTTGATGTCAAAGGTCAGAGTACAATGGGCAGACTGGTTCAAGATGATAGAAAGGCAACAGTAAATCATGTCAATATGGACCAAAATCTGTGAGAAATGTTTCCAACAGCTTGTTAAATCTATGCCATGAGGAATTAGAGCAGTTCTGAAGGCAAAAGGAGTCCAACCTGGTACTAGCAAGGTGTATCTAATAAAGTGGCCAGTGAGTGTATTTTTAGCAGCTCTCAGCAGCCTTCCAGTGGATATTTAGCTTGTATCCACTATTCATCTCTAACACTGCATGGATCACACCCTAAACATTTGTCACACATGAAAAATTAATGTGTTGACTTTATTTAAAATTATTGCCTGACTGGTGACTTTGTCGCAAACCTTAGCTTTGGGTTTAGGGGTAAGGGTAGCTTTGGATATAGGGTTAAAGTGACCCTCTCACATAAGGAACATTATCAATAAACAAAGAACCTGTCAATCATATCTGTTATAGGGGAGGGCCAAAGAGGGCATAGTAATGATGTGGAGGTTGGCGAGAGTAGCCACTGAGGACATAGTATTGACATGGAGGTTTGTGGGAGGAACAGCTGAAGGCATAGTTGGGACATAGAGGTTGTAGGAGGAGACAGTGAGGGCACAGTAGTGACTTGGAGGACAACAGAGAAACCAGTGAGGGCATGCATGGAAGTGACAAGGAAGTTGGTGAGAGGAACCAGTGAAGACATAGTAGTGATGTGAAGATTAGTGAGAGGAAGCGGTGAGGGCATAGTAGTGAGGTGAAGGTTGGTGAGAGGAACCGGTGAGGGCATAATAGTGATGTGAAGGATGGTGGGAGGAACCAGTGAGGGTATAGTAGTGATGTAGAGGTTGGTGGTAGGAACCAGTGAGGGTGTAGTTGTGATGTGAAGGTTGGTGGGGAGGAACCAGTGAGGGTATAGTAGTGATGTGGTGGAGGTCACTGGGAGGAACCAGTGAGGCAATAATAGTGATGTGTAGATTGGCAGGAGGAACCAGTTAGGCCAAATTAGTGATGCGGAGGTTGGCAGGAGGAATCAGTAAGGGAACAGTAGTTCTGTTTGGGTTGGCGACATGAACCTGTGAGGCCATAGTACTGATGGGGATGTAGGCAAGAGTAAGGGCAGCACTGAACCAGGAGATCAACATTCCAGAAGGTTTTGGTTTTAGAAGAACTGTATCTGGGGATTTCTCACCAGCATATCAGCATTCAAACATTCAGTAGTCTCTCTTTCTTCTTTACAGGTACTGGTTTTATTGAAAAAAATGTTTAGTTATCTGAACCTACCCCACAAAGAAATTCAGATCTCAGGCAAAATTTAAATAACTACATTAATAAATGTATTATGGTGATTGATATTATTACAGTTCACAGAGATACCAGTAATCATAACATTGTCATGCATATGTCATGAATATGCTATAATAATGTGATAGAGGTAAGGCAGTTAAACATTTTGTATGTTAAGCAGAAAACTCTTAGAACTCCAGTCTTGAGAGATTTACCTTCACTTTCTGTTGGTTTCACAAGACAGGAAGTGAGGGAAAATCTGCAAAAGGGACAGAAAGAGAAAAAAAAAAAATGAGCAAAGGTTTTAGCCTTTGCCTACTCTACTGAAGAAAAACATTTTTATTTCTGTTTGTATTGCTGTTGAAAAATTCACCTCTCTTTCTGTGTGGTAAAATGTTGTCAGCAAGACAGGAAGTTAGGGTAAATCTCTTTAATGGGGCCCTGGGCAGCAGTAAACCTGAAGAGCTTTAACTGATCTCCACTTTATCCAAAAATGGAAAAAAAGGGAAGTTCCATTTTTCCTCCTCCCCCCATCATATTTGGATTTTTTTTTCAGGGAGCAAGTACCTAGTTTTGACTAGTAATCGCTCCCACAAGGTGATCTGAGTGGAAGTTCGCCCTATTACCCTTCCACCCACAAATGCCTGGGACACAATGCAGGTCCATTCAGAAAGCACAGCATGACTGGCGCATGCACAGTGGAGAGCCAGCTGTGAGCCAATAGGAAGTCACAGCCAGCTTCCCACACTCAAGACGGCAGAGCTGGGG